ATGTTGAAGTGTCGAAGCAGGTTGCTTGACACAGGATTTTTCACTCAGACCAAAATAGAAATTTTAGACTTTTGTAATTTTTGATTTTACCTTAGGGAGCAAGGTAGCTCAATTATAAATAGAGGGAATAATCGCTATTTTGAGTAAGAAGAATAGAGAATAATATTGTAACACACAACAGAAAGTGCAATTGTGCAGTTGAATAATATTTTTTTCTCAGTTTGAGAGCAGAGAGTTACTCTACGAAAATCATTCTCCACTTCCCTTATTTTATTAAACCCTAATCTTCTTTCCTATTCAATTTTCTTTCTTTCTTCTTCCATTGATAATTGTTGCGCATAATCATTTTTGCAATCAAGGTGTTATTGATTCACTCAGTGAAAAATAAGGAATTTCGATCGATTTATTAAATCTTGTTCATCAAGATTGATTCGAAATCTCAAAATTTTTGGTTAATTCCAACAAATCCTAGTTTCTTCTATACGTTTTCATGTTTAAACATATTACATAATGTATTATATTTTTATGTTGTTAAGATTAAAGAGAGTGTTGATGAGAATAAATCTAATGTTGCTGAAGAATCTAGGCTCGTAACGGTATTATTCTAGCTTATGACACGTTCTGTAAGAAATCTATAGAAAATTTGTAGATAAATTTGTAGGATATGTTAATAGAATAATGAGATATGATGTAATTTTAAATATGAATTTGAATTTTAACAAATCAAAAAGGGTGTGCTAAAAATATAATGTTAGAAAATATTGTAATAATTATCAAATTGCTTTAAAAAATTTGACTAATTTAAATCTTATAAATTTATAAAATGATTTAAAATTCTATAAATTTAAAATTGATAAAATCTTGATTAGTTTTTTAAATTCCATAAATTATTTTTAAATAAAATAACTGTATTTAAAATTCTTATTCAACACCGCACTCAATAGAGAATCTATCAAAATATTAACACTATATTTGAGAATTTGGAAAGGAGGAGAAGAGAAGATTTCTAAACAAAGTGAACAAGCACTACGCCAGAATTGACTTTTAGCAACGCATAAAAAGACAGCGCTTTATAACAAAGCGCTGCTAAATAGTCAGTAAAAAAAAGAAAAAAAATTACATACCAAAGACAGCGCTTTTAAAAAAGCGCTGCTAAAGGGGGAGCCTAAGACAACGCTTTTTAAAAAGCGCTGCTAAAAGGGGACCCTAAGAAAGCGCTTTTAAAAAGCGCTGCTAAAGGAGGACCCTTTGAAAGCGCTTTTTAAAAGCGCTGCTAAAGGGGGACCCTACGAGAGCGCTTTTTCTATAAAGCGCTGTTGTATGTCATTACTAAGGCACCCTATGAAAGCGCTTTTTAAAGCGCTGCTAAAGGCCTTTAAAAAGCGCTGCTAAAGGTATTAGTATAATAATTTTTATATACCCTCCAGAATTTTAAGAGAAACAAAAGTCGCGAGTTTCTTTTTTTCTTTCTTTCTCCTCTGCTCTGGCGAACGAACTTTGCCCTATATACCCTCCAGAACCATTCTGTTGTCGTCGCCCTCCCTCCAACCGTTGCCGTCGCCCTCCCTCCGACCGTTGCCGTCGCCGTCTTCTGTTCACCGTCCGTTTTCGAGTGCCTTCGTCCATTGCATTTCCAACATTGTTACGGTATGTGTAGTTTTACTATGGTTTTCTTTTTTATTGATCTTTTCACCATTGTTATATATTTCTTTGAACCTTGATATATGATATATGATAGATTTATTGGAAAATATTTGTTGTCGCTTTATTGGAAAATATTGGAAAATATATGATAGATTTATTGGAAAATATTTTTGTTGATGAAACTTTTGGTATTAAAATTGAAACAATCTGTTTGTAGAGAGAAGGAATGTGCTTCATATTTTATATATATATATATATATATATATATATATATATATATATATATATATATATATATATATATATATATATATATATATATATATATATATATATATATATATATATATATATATATATATATATATATATATATATATATATATATATATATATATATATATATATATATATATATATATATATATATATATATATATATATATATATATATATATATATATATATGTTGTTATGGTTTTATATGTTGATGGATTATCTAGTATTTTTAATATGATATATTTTGGTGGATTATCTAGTATTTTTGTTTTGTAAATTATTAATATGATTTTAATAAAATTTATATTTTGTCTGTTATAGGGGTTACCTGTGAAGAGCAAGGTTGTGATCGTTTCCAAGCATCCTACTGTATAGCTTTCTTAGAAGTTAGTGATTTCTTTACAGGTATTATCTGTTTTTGCTTAGACTACTCAATTATCTGTTATGCATATTAAAAAAAATGTATTTGAAAGTGTTATTGGTACGTTACTCAATATACAAGGAAAGTCTAAGGATGGCCTTAAAGCAAGAAAAGACTTGGTAGCAATGGGAATAAGAAATGAATTAGGACCCCAGAAGAAAGGAAATCGCACTTATCTACCACCTGCTGCATATACTTTGTCTTGAAAGGAGAAAAAGATAATGTGTAAGTTTCTGAGTGAAGTTAAAGTTCCAGAAGGATACTCTTTAGATATTAGAAGACTTGTTTCTATGAAAGACCTAAAGTTAAAGAGTTTAAAGACACATGATTGCCATGTTCTTATGGAACACTTTCTACCAATAGGTATACGTTCTATTTTGCCAGAAAAAGTGAGAGACGCAATAACAAAATTGTGTTTCTTTTTCAGATCTATTTGTAGTAAGGTGATCGATCCTGCGATCTTACCAACATTGCAAAAAGATATAATTATTACTTTGTGTGAGCTTGAAATGTATTTTCCTCCGTCATTCTTTGACATAATGGTACATCTAGTTGTGCATCTTGTGAAAGAGACACAACTGTGTGGACCTGCATATATGAGATGGATGTATCCAGTTGAACGTTATATGAAAATATTGAAAGGGTATGTGAAAAACCGAAGTCGACCAGAGGGATGTATTGTTGAACGATACATTGTTGAAGAAGCTATTGAGTTTTGTACTGAATATTTGTCCAACGTTCAATCCATTGGCCTCCCAAAATCTGATGTTGTTGAAAAAGTAGTAGGTAAACAGTTAATTAGAAATAAAGTTGTGACAGTTTCAAGGGATGAACGGGAGCAAGTGCATTTATATGTTCTGCACAATGACATTGAGGTTGAGCAGTACGTTAAATTGCACAAGGACGTTCTCCGAGGTTTAAATCTGAATAGAAATGAAAATTGGATAGTACGTGAGCACAATCGAAGTTTTATAACATGGTTCAAAGAGCATATTTATTCAAAGTTTTATTCTGATCCCGCTTCAATAACAGAAAGGTTGAGATGTTTAGCATATGGTCCAACTTTGCATGTGTTTTCTTATAGCGCATACGCAATTAATGGATACACATTTTATACCAAGGAGCAAGATGATAAAAGTACAATGCAAAATAGTGGTGTCACTGTGCTTGCCGAATCAATGCACATTTCCTCGTATTTTGGGGTAATCGAGCGCATTTGGGTGTTTGATTATGAGATGTTTCAGATTCCTATCTTTGGATGCAAGTGGGTTGAAAGTAATAGTGGCATACGTATGGATAAGTCAGGTTTTTTGCAAGTGGATCTTAATAAGATGGGGTACAAAGATGAGCCTTTTATTCTAGCCACGCAAGCTAAACAAGTGTTCTATGTCACTGATCCGAAAAGTACGAAATGGTCTATAGTTCTTTTTTCCAACAAAGTAATCAACGATAACATTGGAGAAAAGGGGGAGGTTGATGTTGAGAATGAATCTTATGTTAGGGATGATCCAGATGAGAATATTATAGCAGACGAATCATATATTAGAAATGATCATAGCGAGGGAATTTGGATCAACCCATCCGTCCGTGTTGTTAAGAGACAAGTAAAGCACCTTCGAACTAAAAAAAGAAAAAGATGTTAAAGGTACTTGTAAAATTACATATTGTCTCATTCAATAAAATAACATATTATTTCTTATTTATACATTTCTTATGTGTATATATATATATTTCTTATTTACATATTTGAATATCATTCATTTGATACTTTAGTTTTCCTGAATTAAAGGTATATTATGGCCAGCAATGAAGATTGGAAGAAATTAAAGTAGAATTGTATAATTTGTGATGTTGAATTTCGAGTTGAGAATTGTATATAATTTGTGATGTTGAATTGTGAAGCTTTTGAATTATATATATTAAAGTGGAATTGTATATAATTTGTGATGTTGAATTGTGCATATAATGTCAAAGTGTTGAATTGTGCACATAATGCCAAAGTGTTGAATTGTGTATATAAAGCCAAAGTGCTGAAATAAAGGGCTAAATTATATAAGCAGGTATTGTAATATAAGCAGGTTTATTGAAAAATATATAAAAAATGTCATTAATCAGGAAAATTTTTTTTTCAAAACGTGCACATTAGACAGCGCTTTTATGTATAAGCGCTGCTAAAGGGAACAGAGAAACTGCTAAAAAAGCGTTGCTATAGGTGGGGAAAGAGGGGTCTAAGACAGCGCTTTCATAAAGCGCTGCTATAGGGGGGGTCTAAGACAGCGCTTTAATAAAGCGCTGCTAAAGGGGGGAGGGGGGGGGGAGAGATTAGGCAGCGCTTTAAAAAGCACTGCTAAAGGGGTAAAAAAGCGCTGCTAAAGGTGATGTCTTTAGCAGCGCTTTTTCCACAAAAAAAGCGCTGCCTTTACCTTTAGCAGCGCCACTTTAGGCAGCGCTTTAAAGCGCTGCTAAAGGTCTGTTTTGGCATAGGGAAGACATAAGCTTCTTGATTGCAAGGAAAATAAATTAAATATCCATAAGTACAAGGAAACAAAGTTTCTTATTATGTAAGGTACAAAATTAATAGTTTGGCAAATGGAAGGAAAACAGGAAAATTATGAGGACAGGCAAATATCTATAAATCCAGCTGTATGATATTCAATCAGAGGCAACAATCAATGGCACAACAGCAACATAATCCAGCACAACTGCAAAAACAAAAAAGCCACAAGAAAAATCAAATATATATTTATAAAAATAAAGTATGAATTAAAATAAGAAAATAATTAGCAGTATTATTAATGTTACCATCCTTCCCAGAAACCATCACCCCTGGTAGTTGTTTTGACTGGAACAGTTTGTTGAGGATCATCCTTTGTAGGGTACCCCATTGGTGGTGGTGGAGCAACTTGGGGGTTGCTCTGATCCATTGCTGGATACGCAATCACTGCTCAAAATTAATTAATAACAATAGTAGTAAGATTAATTAAATAATAATTCTTGCTACCAAACATTAAATTATTATAGCTGAATATATATAAAACCTTACCAGGAGATTGTTGTTGTTGATTGACATTGTGACTCATTGTGTTAAGATGAAGTTGCTGTAGATTTTTTTTTATAAGTCAAAAGTTCGTGTGATTAAGTTGATGATGAGAATAATGGATACAAAAATGTATAAATAGATGTTTGTGGGGTGGCGATGGAATAATAAAAAGCGCGTTTTTGGGGAAAGCAAAAGCAAGTGAACTTCTTTGTAGCAGCTGCCAGCCTTGACTGATGGTTCGCACCTGAATCATTTGTTCCGTCTGCTCAAAGAATGGAAGCTACTTTTCCTTTTGCTCGTGTTTTTTTAAGAAATATAGAAGGTACACGAATATATTCTTATCTTTGTTTTTTAATTAAAAAAAAGTTAATTTCAAGATTTAAAAAAAAGTTTAAATAGTGTTGTCGTTTACGTAAGTTAACGAGTTTTTGCGTTTAATTTATAAATTTTTTCTTTAGATCTGATTCTTTATATGTCATGTTTGTGTTGATTTTCGTCCTTGACATTAATAGTTTGTTAAAAAAACATTGAGTTAACTAACGCCACTCATGTAGAATGACATTTTATTTTATTTTTCTTTAATATTTTGCCGACATAGAATCAATGTTTTGGAGGTCATTTAAAGGAGGACTAAATCCAAATTTTTTAATTATTTGCATCATCTTCTTCCTCTCTAAATATTTTTCTGCACTTTTTCTTTTCTTCTCAGTAAGAGGCGTTGCATTTTCTTCTCTGTAACATGGCAACATCATCTGTAGGTAATAACTCTCAGTCTCAAATTTCAGTTGTGGTTGCAATAAAACAATGTGGATGTTCATCTCAAATTCAAGTGAAAACCCTAAACAAAAATTCTGAAAATGTGCAAATTTGGATGGAATGTCAAGTTGCAAACTATTCTTGTGGAATGATGAACTTAAGTGCAACATATCAACTGAACCGAAAATTTCAATTGGTTGCAATTGCTCAGAAGTTGTGCAAGATTATGTTGCATCATCAAAGACGTTGAAGCTAGAAAAAAAGATAAGATGAAATTGAAGTTGGAAAATGAAAGGAAGAAGACCAATTTGTTTAGGATGTTGTTGATTTTTTATGGTTTAGTCCCTATAAGATGGTTGTTTCTTGAATTTCATCCATGTATTGGTTAATTAGTTAAGAATTTCGTCCCTGAAATATTTTGGCATTTTGCATTTCGTCCCTGTTTCATATTGTGTTGTTTGTATGCCATCCTTTAATCTTAATGAAATATTTTTATTTAATTCTTGTTTCTTACTTATGCTAGTGGGTTGTAAAAACAGAATATAATGCTAAAAGGAATACCTAGTTAGTGTCATAATTTCATAAAGTCAAAAGGCATAAGGTTGCAAAATACACAATAAATTGTCTCAAAAACATAATTTGTCTTAAAATTACATAAAGATAACATAACTTGTCTCAAAAGCATAATTTGTCTAAGAATTACATAAACAGAACATAACTTTTCTCAAAAACATAATTTGTCTTAAGATTACATAAACATAACATAACATAATGTCATAGAGGCCAAAATGCACAAATTCCAAAACCACAATGTCTTCTTCATGACTTCCTTACCTAGGACTTCTCCTTAATTCCAATTTTCTTAAAATTTTAGGTTTGATACTCTTCTTCTTCTTTTGCAATAAATAGAATAATTAGAGGTGCTCATATAATACAAATCATTAGAATAATTCCTTGAAAATTTAGGTTTGATACTGAACTGGTTTAAGACATCTAGGAGTAGATGAACTAGGTGCAGCAAGTACTTCATCCGTTGTTGGAATAGGTGCAGATAAAATATAGTCAGGTGCAAAAAGTATTATACCTGATGGAACAAGAGCACTCTGAGTTGATGTAGCAAGGATATTATGAACTGATGTAACATGGACACTTTGAGATGATGTAGCAGGTACACTCTGAGATGATGCAACAAGTTTTGGTTGAGTTTGAGTAGCGTTAAATATTGCTGCAAGATTTGTAGCTAGCATTTCAAACTCAATGTCAACATCTATTTGAGATGCATTTGCTTTAGGTTGTTCATTGGTAGCAGCCTCAGTTGGATGACTTGCTTGGGTTTGTTCTTGAGTTGTTTGAGTTTGTTCTTGACTTGTTTGGGTTTGTTCTTGAGTTGTTTTAGTTTGTATTGACTTGTTTGGGTTTGTTTTTGAGTTGCTTGAGTTTGATCTTGAGTTGCTTAACTTGTATTTATAGATGGTTGTCTTGTTGCAACTTTCTTTGGCTTTCTCGGCAAATTTTTGGAAATTATAAATTAAAAGGATTACTTGTTACATATACTTATCAAATTATGGACATGTTACATACCTTTCTTTTTTGAGTTTCTTGGGTTTATTCTGGAGTTTCTTGGGTTTGTTCTTAAGTTGCTTACGTTTGATCTTAAGTTGCTTGACTTGTATTTATAGATGGTTGTCCTGTTGCAACTTTCTTTAGCTTTCTGTGTAAATTTTTGGAAATCAAAACATTAATAGGATTACTTGATACATATACTTATCAAATTATGGACATGTTACATACCTTTCTTTTTTGAGCTTTAGTGTCAACCACTTGATTCTTACAACTTCTTGCATTATGGCCATGTACACAATATGTTGTGCAATAATAACTTGTCTGTGTCCTCCCCTTATTGGAGTCCTCATCTGGTTCCCTTCTTCTTAATTTTTTAGGCCTTCTAAGTCCTCTTTATATGCTGGAGGTAACATTTCCTCTATGTCAACCTATGGCCACATGTCTTGTCCATTAATAGGACTTACACTATAACCATAACGTTTCACATAAGTCTCCTTAGAATAATAAGCATCCACAAATATTCAGGGCATTGGTTCTTAAAACCTAATGCAGCTACTGCATGTCTGCACGGGAGACATACTAACTCCCAAAAGTTACAAGTGCATGTTTTTTTATGTATCCACAATGAAATAATTCCTAGTATGGATATGTTCAACTTGCCATATTGTTTCATCAGACCAATTTGGAACCCAATTACCTGCATGCTCTACTTCCTTATCTAACATAAGTCTAAGTTTAGGCATTATCCTATGTTGCCATTTCTCAACCCTTTCTCTTAAATTGGACTTCCTATTCATGAGGTAAGTTCTTATCCATTCACACATAGTAAGGATAAGTTTATCTCTGGCAACTAATATAGTGCTATTAAATGACTTAGAAACATCATTCATAAGTACACCACATTTGGGATAAAATGAAAATGCATGCTTACACCATGTCTTTGTAGGTATTTTTGACTTTTGACAGCCACTCTCAAGCTTTCACATTAATCACCTTCAATTCTTTCATTTTAGCATTCCAAGCTTGAATATATGTGGCCTTTGCATCTGCCATCATTAAGTCTCTAAATTGTGTCCCTCCACCAAACTTCTTTTTGAAATTGACATACAAATGCCTAAGACAAAGTTTATGCTCTAGCCTCCCAGACATTTCTTCAAACATAGACATCAAACCCTGCATACCAGTTTCAAACAAATAACTAGAAATTAAGGATGAAATCCAAAAAACCAGAAAATAAATTGGGATGAAATCCAAATAACCAGAAAATAAATAGGGATGAAGTCCAAAAAAACAAAAAAGAAAAAGAATTAGGGATGCAAAATACCTTTTTTTGGTCAGAATTAAAAATCCATCTTCTTTCTTGACCTATGTCCTCCAAAAGCAAAGTATGAAACCACGTACATGACTCATTTCTTTCAGTTTCACATACATCAAAAGTTAGGGGATAGTATTGATCATTTGGATCTCTACCAATTGTAATTAGAAGAGTCCCTCTATACTTAGTCTTGAGATGACATCCATCTACCCCAATGAAAGGCCTGCAATATATTGTGAAGCCCTTCTTAAGCCCATCAAAGAAATAATATAAAGATGCAAACCTTAGTTGAATTGTTGGTGCAATCCTTTTCAAACCTTAGTTGAAGATTTTGGAAATTTGAAATGGATGAAGAAGATAAAGCTCGTGGAAGAAGATGAACATGGAGGTGGCACCATTTTTGAATTTACCAAGTTGTTTTAATATATTATCATTTTGTTATGTTTTAATCAACAGATGTATCACCACCCTAGTGGTTAGAGCATGCGTTTTCAGGTATTTGTGTGTGAGCTTAGGGTCTGGGTTCGAATCCCCCTCGCCCTAGAGCTTTTGATGTTTTCTTTTAGCATTTTCAAACACAAGACTTAATGTATTATTTACACGACACGTTGTTTATTACCATACAAGCAAGTGGCCTAGTGGTAAAAGTTTTAATCCCATCACATGGAGGGCGCAGGTTCAAGCCTTGGTGGGAGCATTCCTTATCTTTTTATCACTATTTTTCATGCTTTTCTTCACAACTTCATTCCATTATTTCAATAAGAAAAATTGATCTTTTTGAGTCATTTTTTTGCACACTTCTCATTTATCTTGTATATTTTTAGAATCCATCAAAAATTCCCAAAAATAATATTTATTTTTGTCATTTTTATTAGGTTGAAAACTAATACTTTTTAAGTATTTTTTATACCTTTTCATGATTCCTTTTGATTATTCTCTTGACCTAATTATGCATATGTGTTTATAGGGTCATAATATACTTTGTCTAAGTCTTGTTTAATGTACATAACATGTTGGCTTGACTTATACATACCATCATTAAGTATTATTTCTTTTGAAAAATACTTTGATTATTAGTTGAAACCTTAGGGATTTGTTCAAATAATCTTTTGAAAACATCTTGATGCATGACCAGGGCTTCCACTTGAGTTTGGATTCCCCAAAGCCTTTGATTCAACCATGATTGAATGTCTTGTTCATATGCTCATCTTCATAAAACTTAAGGTTTTGTTTACCTTTTTCTATGTTCATCTGATCCATGATCATCTTGAATATATGCTTGCTTGAACTTCTTTGTAATTTCTTCAATTGATTAAATCTTTGCTTACATATTCAAGTATTTCCTTCATAAACTCTTACCACGATTAAATCTTGAATATAATTTTAATACATTATATAAATTATATAATTAATAATTAAATACCATAGTTTTTAATAATTTTTAATGTTAATAATTTTTTAATTTTAAATAGTTAATGATAAATTATGTAATTAATAATTAAATACCATAAAATTTTAACTATAATTACAATTTTAACTATAAATTATGTATTATAATTTTTTAATTTTATAATACCATTTTTAAAAATTTTAATTATAAAATACTAATTAATAATAATTACATTATAAAAGTAGATTATAAGAAATGTAAATAATTTTAACTTTACAAGATTAAATTACAACAATAAAATTGATTAAACAAAAATACATTTCATCGAAGATGACCCCCAGTTCCACACCTAGTGGTCCTTCGCTCTCTATATCCCCTGCCCAAACGCTCATTTCTAGGTGATTGAGATGAGTCGAAAGACATGTCTTCATTGTGATGTGTTGTAGGGGGGTTTGCCTGTCGTGAAGAGGGTCCTGGTTGCTCATCGAGAAGATCCTCAATGTTAAAATCCGGCATGTTCATCGGTTGCTCGTCTGTCAGCAAAAAAATTTGGAATGAGTGTGGTGGTTGCGGTGGTTGCGGGTAGGTTTCGGGTTGGGTTTGTTGAAGGGTTGGGTAGTAGACGTCATCAGGCGTGAAGGTCGAGGTAGGTTGAGTTAAGGTAGTGTTGAAGGTCGAGGTGGGTTGAGAGAAGGTAGTGTTGAAGGTTTGATATTGGAAACGTGGGTCGGCCTGGTCAAAGTTGGGCGGTGGGACTGGGGTGAACTGTATGGGTGGTCGGAGGTAGGTTTAGGGCTGATATTGTTGGTTGTAGTGGTAGTTATAGTTTTGTTGAGGGAATGTATTGTTGGGTGTTTGTTGTTGGTATGCATATTGAGCTGACGAGGATGCGTGCCCCCCAAATTGAGAAGTGTAGGATGGTGGCACATCCTGGTGCACTGATGCGGCAGTCGGTTGTGTGATGCGGCAGTCTGGAGCAACATGCACATAAGGAATGGCACGAAACCAAGCTAAATACTCTTGGCTTGACTTGCGTTCACCTAATGCAGCGTCCCCCTGCAAAATCACATTTCTTTTGTGTCTCCATTCTCTCACCTCCTCCTTGTTTAACTCTCGCCAATGAACTTTTTGGGCTTTTCTCATGGTCATTGCGTGGTGTTCCCTTAGACACCTTAGTGGGGGAGGGATTTGTTGGTCTAATCCAAACTGGAGTGTTACCCTATCCGTTTGATGCATCTCAACGGTATAGAAACAAATAAGGTAAGTTGTTGCGCTCCAGATTTGGCGATCTCCAAGACTGGGCACCGGATATTGAATGTACGGCCTCCATATAAACTGCCACATAAAAAAGAAAATTAAGATACAATTAACAAGTAGAACCGACAACTATTTTCACATGGTTTCAAACTTACATCTTGTTCTTTCATATGGTCCAATGCGTTTCGATATCCTTGAAGATCAAAATGAGGATTTACATGGTAATTCATTCTTCTTTGCGCCCATCTTGCATAACCAAAAAAAATATAATATTGTTAGGCATAGTTGAATAACAAATATATATATATATATATATATATATATATATATATATATATATATATATATATATATATATATATATATATATATATATATATATATATATATATATATATATATATTGAAGGTGTGAAAAATACACAAGAAAGGGGGGTTTGAATTGGGTATTTGGTTACTTAAAAACTTTTGACATCTTCTTCTGTGTTGTTTCTAGATGTAGCAATGCGGAAGCATAAATAATAAACTAAACAAGTAAAGAACACAAGATATATCCTGGTTCACTTGAGCAACTCTCAAGCTAATCCAGTCCACCCTTCCAAGGTGATTTCGCCTTACTCACTGCAAGGACTTAATCCACTATAACCAAACAGATTACAGTTGCACAAGCTAACTGCAAGTGACTAACAACTTGACAATGACACGTTCAGGGATCCCCAAGGATATAACGTTCATTGACACCTTAATAGAATCCGATCACTAAAGATCTCCTATTAGGATTTCCACAAATGAATATTGTCACTTGTCATCTCAAGTATACTGATCTTCACAAGATCACTTGAGGAACCACTAATTCTAAAATAGAATTTGTGTTGCCGGAGATTACATAAGTGCTTCTCAAATAAGCAGATTACTCCTAATTAAGTTCCTAGCAAGTATTGAGCAACAACTCCTTGCTTTCTAATATAGAAACTAATCTAATAATAAATCTCTAAGAGATTATTGAGTACAGTTTCCATATTGCTTAAAAGCTTTTCTGTGTGTGAGCACTAAGGCTTCTTTTCATTTTAAGCTTTTCTTCTTTCTTTCTTTTCTTCACTTCATGCTTACAAGCATGGTAACATTTGAATGAATCAAATGTTATTCCTTATAGTGCAGCTTAATAGCAACAACTTTTCTTGACTTGGCAACACGGCAACTGCTTAATGATCAAATGATTCTTCTTTTTATAGTGCTTCCAAGAATGACGTTGAGAGGATAAGGATGTTCATTCAAACTCCAACGGTCATATCTCAACGGATAGATAAGCACGTGTTGGATGACATCACTTTCTTGTCCTTTTCTTGCAACGGTAATATTCCATTTAACAGCTTGGACAAATTTGCTTCTGGCTTGGTTCTTCTGATGATGTTACAGATGAGTAGTTCAGAAACTACTTTGGTATAGATAGCATAGTAAACATCAGATTCTGACTTCAGCACTTTGTTCATCAGAGTTGATAGCAACAGCTCATCTGATTGAACACGTCTTGTCTGGTGAAGCTTCATAATCTTTCTTCTTCAGAGTCTGGTCTTCAGAGTCTTTTGCACTTGGTCTTCAGAGCCTTCAGCCTTCAGAACTTCAAGTCATCAGAGTCTTCAGCACAAACTTCTTCAGATGATTATATCTTCAGAGTATTGACCTTTAGAACATGTCTTCAGAGTCTTCACCTTCAGAACATGTCTTCAGAGTCTTCAGAGTCTTGACCTTCAGAACATGTCTTCAGAGTCTTGACGCACTTGGTCTTCAGAGCCTTCAGCCTTCAGAACTTCAAGTCATCAGATTCTTCAGCACTACAGTTCTTTAGAGGGCTCACTCTTCAGAGACGCTCGTTAGCTTCCAGATCAGATGCATAACTCAGATCAGAATCCACAGATGCATTGCAACTGCAATATCCAGCATCCTTGATTCTTTATTGAACATGATCAGATGCAGAAACAAACTTGCTTCTTTACTGAGCTTCATTTGCTTTTAGATCAGATGCACTTCTTCAGATCATAAACCACAGGAGCATTGCAACTGCAATATACAGCATCCTTGGTTCCTTACTGATGGTGATCAGATACATAAGCAAACTAGCTTCTCCCAAGCGCTTCACAACGTTACACATAGTAATTCCATATATTACTAGCTGCACACGTTGCTTTTGTTTGTTTGGTCTAATATATTTAATTTAATATGACCTGCACATAACAAACATTAAACCATAAAATGGTTCTTTCACAAATACTCAATTGTTATCATCAAAACATAGAGATAATCCTGTAGAAACAAATCTTGCTCTTACAATCTCCCCCTTTTTGATGATGACAAAAACATGTATTTTGTTAAAAAATTTTATACAGGGTAATCACCAAGCATTAACCTATTCAGAGTTCTAAGCAACTGCTCCCCCTGAATGAGTTAACCTTAAAAACATTTTTATGCTTGTTCAGAGACATACTCTGATCCCAAGACTTACAAAAAATAAATTTGATAAAACACAATCAAATAGAATAGAAAAGAAGGAATACTTCCCTGTGATATAAGAGATCATAAGTCTTCAGCATCTGGACTAGTTCAGCAGAACTTCCATCTTCAGATCTTTAGAACATGTTTTCTTTAACCATCATATCAGAGTCATATGACTTCAGAATATTTGTTTCTTCTTCAGATGAGAAACTCCCCCTGAGTTTCAGACTGGGTGAAGATCAAATATACTGCCTTGTGAACCTTCCTGGGAGAACTCCCCCTGGCTACAATAGATCAGATATTTGGATCTTCTGAGCTTTATACAGTCTTGATTCTTGGTCTTATCAGAGCTCAATGCATTGATCAGATTCACTTCTTGATCTTTTGAAGCATAGTCTGATCCCAATTAGCAAGCTTCTGAATCTGATACCAATGTTGGTTCTAAGACAGATACCAATACATGATACTCATGATTCTGAGTCTGAATCCAAATCTTGCTCTATGAAGATTTCTGATTCTTATGCTCTGACTGTCATTTTCACAGACAATTTACATCTTCTGAACATCACGATTCCAAATGACTTTAACTTTCAGATCTCTGAACAGTATTGGGTCCATCTGATTCTGAATCTATGTTCACGAAGTGTATAACTTCTATTATATGAACACCAGTTCATTTGAACTCAGATTTCTTTCATTTATCCTGTTTAGAATGCCTAGTGAACTTGTTCAGAGTTCCTTGGAAAACATCAAACAAACAATTAGTAATAAACGCAGTTTATATGCTTTTGCATTCTCTTTCAGGTTATAGAATATATCAAAGTTATATTCTATTTCTCAAAAACATTTTCCATTTCTCCCCAAGTTATATTCTATTCTTCCAGATAATATCAAAATCATCTTTCATTTCTCCCCCTTTTTGACATCATCAAAAAGTTTGAGTTTTTCATCAAAACAAATTTTTAAAAAAAATTTCTCTTTTTAAAGTCAGAAATTAAAAAGATAAGAGTTGAGAGATAGCACCTGAGAACTTAATCATCTTTCATTTCTCCCCTTGAGAACTTAATTCTTACAGGTTGATACCAATTAAAGTAGGTTGATATCTTTTCTTAGATTTCATCTTCTATATCTCCCCCTGTTTCTTTGAGAGTGACAATTCTTCAGAATTTGTAGAAGCATGCTCTGACGAGGATTGTTGACAGGTTTCTATTCAACAGAACTTTCTCTGACAACTTGTTGTACATCCTTCATAGCTTGTTGATCTCCTCTAAACTTACTAATGTCACGTTCTCAACGTACAAAAGTAGTTTCACAAGAGAATCCAACTACAACATTTTGCTTAGTCTTCTTAGCATCTTCAGCTTCTTGTACTAATCTGGAAGTTTCGTTTCTGAAATTTTCCTCTGCTAGATTTAGACAAGAAGGTTGAAAACTCTTCTTCCTTCTAGCTTGATCTTGATACCAATAATTCCAGTCCTTAGAACAACTTGAAATGCATCTAATTTCAGAGTCTAATTACTTCTGAAAAATATCTCAAGAAGTCTCAAGTTCCAGAGTTGAAGTGCTTGTTCTAGCCTTTGCTTTGATTCTTGATTCTGCGCCCAGAACCTTCTGTATCTTCACTCAAACATCTTCTAAAGTTTTGCTCAGAGTTATCTGACGCTTTGCTTCATCTTCTAATAGAATCTATTATCCAGATCTTCTGATGGTCTACAACTTCAGATTTGCTCAGATCTTTAGAAACCATCTGATATCATTTGAAGGTGATGTACCAA